GCGTAGTTGCTCCGTATTATGTGGAACAGGTACTCCGTTTCTAATTTATTGTGTTCGAAAACTTCAATTGTTTCATCTTTGCTTTTGAGTAAATAAATATAGCAATATCAAGTACAATCATCGATAAAAAGTAATAAAATACTTTTTACCACCCAAATTTGAACAAACTTTAAATGACATATATTAGTGTGAATTAAATTTGGGGGTGGGTATTTTTTTCGACGGAATGAAAGGATAGTCGAGCCATTTTAGCTTCCACACATATTTTAGCATTTATAATTAGGATCTAAGTTTCGGTAATAAATCGAATTGACTTAACCCCCGTTTGATCTACATTATTATCTCATTAAAATGAAAAATATGACCGTTATCCATCACATCAACATTTAAATTCAAATTTTTTATCTCTTATGTGGGCCCCAATATCGACTATATTTTTCATTCTCATTCTACAATAATTTGGCTCAAACAGGGCATTAATCTACACAAAGTATTAAAACTAATACCAAACATTTCATTCTTAATAAGTACAAATTTATCTGATACAAAAACTAACTTGAACACTTTCTTGCTTAACAGGGGACCGGATACCAAATTCTTACAAATCTCGAGTACATTAAGAATGTCATTCAATTTGAGCTCCTTTCTACTTGTAATTTTTAGCAAAATATTTTCATGTCCTTCAACTTTGAAGGTGAATAGTTTTTCATATAGTTTCGTTCATCACGATCCATAGCCTTGCAGGTAGAGAACATTTAACGGTATGTACAAATGTAGTGAGTAGCTCTACTATCTACCCACCATTCCTTAGTATTTCCTACTAAGTTGCACTATAAAACGACCACAAAAAAGATTCAAGTCTTGCACATTATTGGAAGTGTAATGTTTTATTATATTGGCATAAGCATTTCGTCCCTTAAGATTCTTTGACTTTTGACAATCCTTGAACCGATGTCATGTCTTTCCATAGTTATAACAGTTGCCTTCGAACTTTTTAAGATCCTTTGAATAACCATTCCCCCTTAGCCTTTGTGCTACCTTTTTTTGTTAGTCTTGGAACCACTTTCCACAACGTTCGTATTTGATCTATCGAATGAAATGCATTACTCTTTTAGTTCTTAAACTTGGGATATAAAAGTCTTGCTATCAGTCATTTTATAACAAAAAAATTGATCGACAATGAATTTCTTCGAGTCAGCATCTTCGATTTTATACTTGGTGTTCAAAGATTTTCACAGTTCTTTTACAGACTTCAAATTATATAACATTATATAGCCCCTGTTTGGCCCCCATTATTTTGCATNCGGTTCTTTTACAGACTTCAAATTATATAACATTATATAGCCCCTGTTTGGCTCCCATTATTTTGCATTTTTGGGGGTTGAAAATTTTTAGAATAGTGATTGATGGGAGAATGTGTGGTTGAATTTTTTTTTATTTGTGTGTAATATTATTTTATTTGATGAATGTGATTGAAATGAAAAGAGAAAAATTTAATGTAATACAATGTAATTTAATGGGGCCAAACAAGGGCATAATGTGTTGTCTAGTTCATCGAGAACGTAGTTTCTCTACAAAATATTCAAATGCTTCCATGTATTAATCGCATCCAATTTCTTTACTCCACTTTCATCCTCTTTATATGAAAATGAGTTTCTTTAATAAATTTTGCCAGAAAAATTAAAAGCATGTTTTGTTTCCAAATACTTTAAACCTATTCTACTAATTTTTTTTGAGTTCTTCTCCTTTTGAATTTGGGAGTGGATTATCTATTATTGTTATTTTGATACAAAATCCAAAGATAAATGAGAATAAAGAGTAGGAATAAACCAGAAAAATAAAAATTCATCTTAAAATTGTTATTTCTGGAGTATCGATTATTCTTTTAAAAATCTGAAGATACTTGTACTTTCAAATTATTTGAACAGGATTGAACAAGTATGAAACTGGAACAATGTTATCAACATGATAAAAATCGAAATGATATGATCAAAATATGAACAATCAAGAACAGAATTATAATTCGAATCTATCAACTTCATCACGTGTGTTTAAGAAGAATTTCTCCATTCTATGAAGCGTAAAGGCGACGATCGTCTTCTAGAATAGAACAATTCTGACGAGTGTGTTTTTACCCACGAGTTTTACACAATTTTAACTTAATTGTTGGCTAAATATTATGAGTATAGAACATTTTTGATATATTTGCTAGTGTTGTTTTAAAGGTACGACGAGGTGGAGTAAAAAGGGTGTTAAAGTGAACAAACGAGGCAAAAGGCAAGGGAAAAGAATCAGCAACATGGCCCTTAGGCACCATGTTTGGAGCGCCCAAGCGCTAAGAATGATTTTTTTCTACAGGAAGATAGCATCCAGGTGCTGGAAACCAAGCGCTCAGGTACTATAAGGAACCGTAGAAACAGAGATGCAATGCTGCGCCCAGGCGCTACACAGAAAGGCATCACGACGCCTAGGCGATGCGTTAGCTGTTTAGGGTTATAATGTTTAGGCATGCGAAAAGCCTAGAAAGACTCCAATTTTTGGAAAACTGTGTAGGGAAGTATAAATAGAAGAAATGAGGCACTTTTATGGAGTTCCACACATTGAGAGAAATACAATACAACGAGAGATTGAAGAACGGAATTCAAAGGAGGAAAACATTAAGAACTTCACATTTTGAAGCATTGATTGGAAGAGGAAGAACATCTTGGTGCAAGATTTATTTCTTTTTCTATATATAATTTCAAAATCCGGTGATGTATTCAATAACTTCTTATTTTTCTTCTTCATTTATTACAAGTAGCTAAATTTATATTATGACGAATAATGTAATCTACTTGAAATTCTTTATATCTTCTATTAAAGATTATTGGTATTTTATCATACATGTGTTGATTTTGCTATGAGTTTAATGTATTAAATTACTTGATTTGTAATTTGATGATTTTGTGAATCTTTTACAAATCGAGATGTGAGTTTGAGATTTAGACCATATAGTAAAATTCGGTATATTAGTATAACGTATAGAGATATCTATACTAAATATTGTGGTCATTACATGAATTTTTAGAACCAATATTTCGTTTAACTAAGGTAGATTCACATAAAGATATGTGATTGAATTAGTTACATAGGCTCAATGAGAATTCGACAGGGGTAAATTGAATACCATAGAAGAATTCGATCGAACACTATATTAGGCTCTTGAATCTTGAATTAAGACTTAAATGTGATCAATAGGTTAAATTGTTCGGCCCTAATATCCAATCATTATTTGAGTTTTCAATCAATCGTTGTCTGTTTTTAATTACTCTAACTGTTTAAATTAAAAATTCACAACAACATATGATTCTTTGTTTGATTTAATCAAATAAGAGTTAGAAAAATCTAATTAAGTTCTAAAGTATAGTCCTCGTGGAAACGATAATCTGGACTCAAAGGTCCACTATATTATTTGTTATGATATCATACACTTGTAATAGGAAAAACGCAACAAGTTTTTAGCGCCGCTGACGGGGACTATTTACTTCTAGTCTTAATTTAATTTATTTTTAATTGTTATTTGGTTTGTTTATTTTTTTATTAATAGATAAAAGGTGTTCGTTGTATACTCTGTACTCAATGTGACGTTCTTGAGTCATTTGATTCGGAGATAGAATGTACTTTCAGACTAAGATGCGAAGAACACAAACAAAAACAATAACATCAAATGGTTGACGATCAAAATATCCCTAGTTCTATACAACCAATTGGACAAGTTACCGAGAGAGTAGCGGCACCACGGGATCAGCAACATGAGTGAGTGGAAGTAAATGAAGGGGACTTCCCAGTTTCAATGTTCTTACAGCCCATAGCGGCACCTGCGCCCTCCAGTATAGTATATCCAGATTTTAGGGTAAACAACTTCCAGATAAGGGCAGATTCGATCAACTTGACCAGCAACACTATCCAATTTTATGGTCTTACTCATGAAAATTCGAACACTCATATCTCCAGAATTCTTAGAAATTGGCAGAATTTTCATGCTCCAGGAGTCAATGAAGACGTTATCAAGTTGCGGTTATTTCCCTTTACATTGCGAGATGCTGTATTGGAATGGTTAGATGCTGAACCTCATGGAAGTATTACTACATGGGAGGAACTAACTAGAAAATTCTACAACAAATTTTTTCCATCGACAAAAGTAGCAAAAATTAGATTGAAAATTCAAACTTTCCAATAGAAAGATGGCGAAAGCTATCATGAAGCATGTAACAGATTCAAGGAGTTAATGAGAAAGTGTCCAAATCATGATATCACCATAGGTAATCAAGCGCAATACTTGTACACCGGACTTCCACGACTGTCAATATTTCTTCCAAGATTTTCTATGTAGGACAAATTGTCACAAATCCAATCAGATTCTTCAACATTTCAAGTTTAAAGGGGGTAACTTTGGATTCAAATATTTTATTTACATCTTCATGATTTCGACAAATAAATATATCATAATAATTATCTTGTAGAATCGGAGATGGATATGCTTGGTCCTGTTAATTTCGAAGTCCGGGTTCCACTTAAAATTGAGATCAAAGTAGCTGGCTTAAAACCGTTTTCCAATAATTATAAGGAAGGTTCGCACTAAATGGACCATATTAGTAATGGACTGAGTTTGTTGAATGAAAGTTGTAAGAATACACATTATGTGCTTCAATGTTTTCTTACACTTCACATTTTGCCCTAAGTTCCTCCAGCATCTGTTATCCCTCTCCATTCTTTCAATCTCTCTTTTGCGAAATAAGCCTGACATATGCATAACAAGGCATCTTTAGATATACATGATACACAGTGATTGTGAAGAGCTGGAATGTTTAAGCTAGCAGGGCGGCCTTGAGAATTTGAGGTCATAGACAACTAATTTTAATGATGCCCTTAAACACAATTTTTTCTTACAAGTGTAGAAATACTTAAAAAAATTAAATAAATGACATATTTATATTTTAAATGACGACTTTATACAATCCAAAAGATCGAGTAGTAAAATAAATCATCTCTAACAACTCTAGATTTGAGTAGCATAATATTTAGCAAAATTATTCTGTTGGTGTTGAAAACATTATCGGAGTGTAAATAATAATCACTATGAATCATTAATTGGGAAAACTCGACAAATGTGCAATTTTTCCCCTATTTGAGTCCAATTATTTAAAAACTCATTTTTCTCAAACTCATTTTCAATCACACATTCTCCCAATAAAATAATTACACAAACTCAAAACATTTTCCCTCTTTTCGACCACACATTCTTCAAAAATCATTATTACAAAATTTGTTTATCCAAAAAAAATTGTGCTCAAACAAACCCTTAGCAAATTCTAGAAAGTTTAATGACTAAAGTGAAAATCATTAGAAAGCTTTAAGAACCATAATTTATAGTCCTAAGAATATTGTAAGGATATCTAGTAAGGATAAGAGTGATTTTCAGAACTTAAACCCGAGATGGGCCCTAAATGCATAAAGTACAAAATTTTGGGACTAGATTGTACATATTGAGAAAAATATATTTTTTAGACGAGAAGGTGACGAGTTAAGATTATTTAGCGATTAGATAGATCTCCAGATTCTAAGGATTTTGATTTGGAAACCTTTTGATAATTTTGAGATCTTGAGAGACTAAATTGAAAATAAACAATAATGTATTTGAGCCAAATGTGTATATTGTACGGATCTCTAGTAAAAATAAGAGTGATTTTCGGAGCTTACACCTGAGATGGAGCCATAAATGCATAAAGTGCAAAATTTTTAGACTAGATTGTACATATTGAGAAAAATATATATTTTTTAAATGATACGTGACTAGTTAAGATTATTTAGTGATTAGAGAAATCATTAGATTCTAAGGATTTTGATTTGGGAACCTTTTGATAATTTTGAGATTTTTAAATTTCGACATCAATAATGTATTTGAGTCAAATGTTTTGGATAAACTGGAAGTAAGTTAGAATCGATCAAAGAAAATTACAGTTAAATGAGTTTTTTAAAAAACTAATCCATTTTATTTAGTAATTAATAATTTAATTGGGCCTGCCTACTATGTAATTTTTGATCTTTTTGATGCCGCTTTTACGTTTTGAGACCCAAGGTCATTGTTTAATTGGCTTCGGCCTAGGGCCAGCTCTGTGTGCTAGAAATCTCTGGTTTGTGAGTGTGATTTTTGCATGCAGATGAATCAATTCTACTCAGTATGATTATCACTATAGCACATACCTCTTTGTTCCAGTCTGCGACGCATATCTTCCAGAGTAATATGCAGGATTGTAGGCATAAACCTAGCAACATTCCATACCAAAGCCCCTGAAGAATATCAAATCGGAAATGGAGATACAAGCTATTCCATTCTACACTAGAATTGGTTAAAGAAGAACAAAACTCTTGATCATCATAATTTTAGAGCCAACAAAAGAAAGTAACGACTAGAAATAGTCACCTTGATGTCCATTTTGAACTTGTAGGCCATCAAAACTCCCGATGGAATGCCTAGCAGGAAGTAGCATGCAATATTTATGCAGGCAACTGGAACTTGCCACCCTACCCCAACGGCCACTCCTACAATGTCTAATTAATTAATCCTATATCTTTGACGAAATATAACAATGATAGATTTCTTGCTAAGAACTGATAAAAGCATTGAAAGAAGTTGAAAATTGATGAATACCTAAGAGAGTATATTGAACATTTGTGAAGAGTATGCATAGCCCTAGCAATGGCGTGAGCTCTTCTACAAGAAGCTTAACTTCGGAACTGTTTGAAAATATTGTAGGGTACTGCTTAGTGGTGACCATTAGGATAAGAGCGAACAAGGAACCGAATAGAAGAGAAGTGATCCCAGCCACCACTACTGACCATTTTGCCCTTCCCGGGTGCTCAGAACCGAGTTCATTTGACACCCTCACACTGCAAAAACCAATAAGTAGAGTGAGAATAAAAACTTGCTCTTTATTTGGGAAATGATAATTGTCCCAAAATTGGCATAATCTAATTGTTGTAATTTGACCAAAATTCTAGTTGGTATTGGAGTTTTGGTAGAAATGGTCTTAAAGAAATCAAATTATGGACCGGAGAGAACCTTGGCTCCCGCCGGCGTTCGAGCGGCATATATATTTGGGAAAATTTTGTTTCCTTCTTTTGACGCTATTTTTGACCATCTTTCCAACAATAACATATTCTTTTGAGTCTTACATATAATCTACATGATTCTTGGCATTCATATGATTTTGTATGAATCAGAATCAAGCTAGAAACACAATATTTTGTATTCATTCTCCATATTAATACATTCTTCATACCACGGCCAATTGTTCTTATGTTTTAATTGCTACTTCATATTGTATCATATATTCTTTTATTCCTAATAAGTAGTATCTACATACATAATTTTTGTTCGGATTCTGACACTAACAAAGGATATGAAGGTGATCCAGCGTCAATGATAAATAGCTAAATTATACATGTTCTGTACACAATATTGAAACGTACGTTAATTTTACACACCTTGTGGCTGCATTGTTTCCAAGACCCACCATGGAGGTCAACCCCAATATATTTACACTGCAAGTCAAAACACAATGGAAGTCACTTAAATAATTAGTCATTAACTATAATAGTGAGAATAGAATTATCATCACATGTGATTGAAATCTTGTTCTTTATTTATTTTTTGACTTAATAGCTTTTAACGGTCCGCTAACAACTATTCCTCTTGTGACTAAAATCATTATTAACTTATTTAACCTCCATACGAAAAATTTAAAAATCATTTATAAATAGAAATGGATGGATAATAAGGCATTGTATGGGAGGGATTAAAATCGGATTAAAATTGAAAATATAGCCGTTATTGTTGACTTTTATTAGACGGGTGGGACCCAATAACGACCATATTTTCAATTTTAATTGGATTTTAAGCCCTCCCGAATAAATAATTAGTCATTAACTATAATAGTGAGAATGGAATTATCATCACATGTGATTGAAATCTTGTTCTTTATTTATTTTTTGACTTAATAGCTTTTAACTGTCCGCTAACAACTATTCCTCTTGTGACTAAAATCATTATTAACTTATTTAACCTCCATACGAAAAATTTAAAAATCATTTATAAATAGAAATGGATGGATAATAAGGCCTTGTATGGGAGGGATTAAAATCGGATTAAAATTGAAAATATAGCCATTATTGTTGACTTTTATTAGACGGGTGGGACCCAATAACAACCATATTTTCAATTTTAATTGGATTTTAATTCCTCCCGAACGGGGCCTAAATGAGTTATTTCATGAATGTGTCTGAAAACATTCATAAGAAAATATTGGAAAACTAAAAAAATGGTTTAAATTTCATAATATTTCTATGCAACTCATAATTAGATTTGTAGACTGCAGTAGCAAGCAAATTGTGCAATGATAGATTAGTCCAAAGAAATCTTCTTTCTTTAATCGATTATGCATAATATGTATTCTGTAATTATCTTCTTCTCTTTCATCTTCAGCTTTATGTAAGAAAAGTGTATTTGTGTGTAAAGGTAATTGGGGAGATTTGAAAGGTTCGAAGATGGAGAGAAGAACCAAATAAAACACGGCTCACCATATAGACGACGCATCCACGGAAACTTCTGCATTTTCTAAATTCCCAATCATCAGGGTCAAAACAGTAATATACCACATCTCAGAGCTGCAAAATTGCAAAAACAAGTTACACATTAGGCTCGTATTTCTCGTGGCCTTTTGGAAATGAATAATCTCAAGAATCTTAATGGTATGCGTTATACGATCAATTAAATAGAATTAAACGAGATAGATGAAGAAGACAGTGGTTTATTAGAATGAGAACGTCAAAGAAATTGCAGCTTGCTTGAACATGAATCCGATTCAAGAATTCTTATTTTAAAATGATGAATTCCATCATATTTGTCATCACATTGCTATTTCATGTCTTGAATTTTCCATATTTTAGTACTCCAATAATTTCAATCCCAATCACAATGGAATGCAATTATTATCAACAATCTAAGTGTCAAATATTGTGAGTAATGCTGTCAAATGATTGGATTTTGATTTGAATCCAATCCAAATGTGATGAAATTAATGGGAGATGCATTTAGAGTCTTAGTTCGATAATCAATAAAGATCCGAATCCCATAATCTGTTAACTAAATGGAGTAATTTGTGGATATTTCTCAATTCAATCTGATAACAATTCAATCCAATTTGTTATAAATAGTTGAGTCGGTTAAATATTTTTATGGCATATTATTTGTAACTAAAATAAATAAATGAGAAAATAAAAAATTAGAATAAAAAAATCATCAAATTCAAACCATAAAAAAATAAGAAAATATAACTACTTGCACACCATCAATTGTTACTAGGCGATTTTTTTTTTTTACTTTTCAAAAAGTCATAAGTTATCCCACATCGGTTTCCATAAAAAAGGAAGTTAAAGGAATAAGTTATAAATAGGGGACATGCCCTTAACTTGGATTTTTTTTAACCATTTTGGCCTTATTGATTTAAAATATGGGCATAAATAAGAAGTCAATTTCAACATTAGTTTTGTCTCCCTAATTTCTTCAATTTAGAATCGAATATCAGATAACATAGCGAATCGAATATGAATTTATAAATCAAAGATTTGTTGAATTATCGGATTGAATTGAATCTCTGAATTATTCTTTTTGGATCTGGCATATCCGATTCATATCCGATCATTTACAACTTTAATTGTGAATTTTCATGTCAAATGGTAATTTTAGGGCCTTTACAATTTTGATGCATTTTCACATACGAATTTTACACAATTTTATTGCCATCTTTTCTTTCATTTAGTTGCCAGACAGTAATGAGAGTTATAGAGAATTATGGAGTTGATGGAGGTTGAGAGAAGTTATGGGTTTGAATTCTATTCAAATCACTCCTTCCAATCTACCATAATATATTGCAGGTCGGATCACCTCACATAGGCGATCCATTACCCTTATTTTCTAACATCTCTCACTCGTATATGATGGGTATGACTTGAATCACAAATGACAACGAATATCAGATGTTAGATCATTCTCAAAATTTATCTCACAAAAATTCATACAACAAATAAATTGTACGACCAACGAATAATATTAGAGATCGCAATACTATAAACCTATCACAGATATATAGTAGCTCTATTAGAGGAATATCACATCTCATTATACTTTTATTTTGGCATAATGTTTGAAATTATAGGTTTTGAAATTTTTCCTATGGTTAACGAATTTAAGTAGTAATCCTTATTTTATTTATTACTTTTGTTAAATTTACGGAAAACTATTGGTGACATTTATAGATGAAGTGAAATTCGCTCGTTTTGATTGGTTATATAATTCTATTTGAATGATACATTTCACAATATTGATAATGATGCAATTATACGACATTTTCAAAGTATGAAAACACGTAGACTACAATTGTAATAGTTTATTGACTTATTTTCTTTAAAGTTATGTTGTTTTGTTTTTATTAAAAAATTGTATTTTAATTTTAAACCTCACAATAGAAAATATCTAGCTTCGTCACTGTTGCAAAGGATATAAGTCCCTGTTTGGTAAGGATTAAAATTAGTTTTTAGTAGAATTTGATAAAAGTTAATGAAATATATTGTTGAAAAATTGTGAATTCCATAAAACATGTGATTAAAATTGATTGTTGATTTTGATTTAAATTAAAATCTATATTGAAATCACTACAAAACAGGGGCTAGATATCTTAGTAGCAATGAACTGTTGGAAGGACTTCATGTAACTTGCTCTGATTTTACCGAGAACGGCAAAAGTGATTTATGTGATCGACTCTAAGGATCCGTTTGACATGATTTTTGAAAAGTCAAATGGAATTTATGAGACCCAAAAGTTACTTTTGGACTCGTTTGACTAATTTTATGAAAGTACTTCTGGTAGTCAGAAGAACTTTTAGAGAAAGTTGGTCTAATGAGGTTTCCTTTAAAAGCACTATACTATTCCGAAAGTGCTTTTAAAAATTAGTTTTCAAATAAAAATTAAGCTAATGTTCTACAAAATCTCTTGTATAGGAAGCAAAAACAAAAATCATGTCAAATACCGCCTAACTTCAATGTGAATAAGCCTTAGTTCGTAAATGCTAAACATAATTGCTTACCTGATCATCACAGCTGAGGCAATAGATATCTTTAAAAACACCCACAATTTTTCAAAGGTTTTCCACGAAAATCCAGACCAAGCTTCGCCACAGTTTCCGGCAATGATGTACAAGAGTTGAGCAATTGCGATGAACCACCACGCCACATTTAGTGTCATGGCCGCGCCTGCCAGGCCCCACCCGAGTTTCAGCATAAAAAACCAGGTTAAGAAAACATGTAAACCAAGCGCTGCTGCTGCAATGACAGATATTGCCATGACCCTGCTTTGTGTCTGTAAAAATTTTGCTGTCGGAATCATCATGGCATAGGCGAATTGCTGGGGAATCATCCAGAGCGAGAATTTCCCTGCTTCTGTTGAAATAGAGGCTGTTTGCCCTAAAAGTTTCAAGATTGGAGTGGCAAATATGAAGAGAGAGAGCATTGCAAGTGCCATGATGTTGAGTATCAGCAATGATCTTTGCATCTGTATTCCAAGCATATCCAATTGATTTGCTCCAAATGCTTGCCCGCAAAACGTCTCTAGCGCACTTGACATGCCCAACTGCGACAAAATCAGGTACATAAATCAATCACTACCCTCGTCATCAAAAAATAATAACAATAATACGAGAGACTCGTGGGTTGAGCCGAACCGAGCGGCACTTTTGGGCACGGCTTGGGTAGTGCTCAAATGAGCTGAGCTGGGCTCAATCCATTGTCATGCCTAACACGAGACAAGCTGTCAGTAATGATAAATACAATAACAAAAGAAAAATGAAAAAACGTACCAATACACTATAAGAAAAATCAGCAATAACAGTGTTCTCCACAGAAACTGCAGCCAGTTGAATGGTTCCGATATGGCCAACAACCACCAAAGTGGTGGCCATGATGCAGTACTGGCTAAAGTAGGTGAAACTGATCGGACCAGCAAGAACCCATTGCTTCTTTGATTCAGTGTAGAATTCTCTAACAAGATCTTTAATTCCATTTACAGGAACAATCTCATCTACATCACCAGAAAATGATGTTTGAGAATTTTCTTCATTTTTTATTCCATCTTGATCACATATGGTGGAAAGGAGTGGTTCCTCAACCTCACAACCAGCCATGGTGTTTCTGCTGGGTACCTGTGTCATTGTCAATATATATATATATATATATATATAGAAAATGTCATAGTTATCAGAGGTAACAACTTTAGCCTCATGTTTGACAACCATACTTTTCGAACTCTTTTTCTACATACTTATTTTCAACCATACTTTTCGAACTCTTTTTTCTACGTATTTATTTTCAACCACACATTCACAAAATAAAATATTATGCACGTAAACTCAAAATTTTCTCTACCTTTTAACCACACATTATTCTAAAAATGATTATTCAAAACGTTGTTTTTGCCAAATAATGATCGTTATTGTCCAATAATTGATTTTATTCATCAATAGTGACAAACTACCGTTATTGTCCAATAATTTTGGATGTCTTTTAATTTATTAAAAAGTATAATAGTGATACTACGTCCACATATGTTGCTATTCATAACCACTAATAAATTCATACTTTAAAAAAAAAAAAGGTGATGCTTCGAGTCATAATACCATTTTTTTCCTGCCTTTAATTTCTTTTTTCTTTATCTACCTTTAAGCGGTTCATGCAAAAATTATAATATTAAATATTTTGATGATAACTTATTATTAATTTGTCACTTTATATAACCAAATATTTTTCACTTGGTTGTAAAATGGAAATCAAATATCTGCAATATGCATAAAATTGATTCCATTAACCTTGGGTGCACCTTGTTTATTGATTTGTAATTAAGAATTCTGATTGGTTCTATGGAAAATGACAATTGATTAATGGAAAATGGATAGTTGATTGTAACCGCAAAATATGATAGGTGTTACGATTTAATTTAATTTAATTTAATTTAACATTGTGCTTTGTTGCGTAGTTTTCTTCTACTTTCTGCCTTTTCCTTTGTCAACTCTCATTTCTATTCAAACCCTAAAATATTATAGGGAGGAAAAATTGTTCAGCTGAGAGCTTGGCTTAAACGCTAAGGAAACCTGTAATAGAATATTTAGAGTTGTGCACTGCTATGGGTATAGGGTGGGGTCCCCACCGATAGCTCACAATGGGGGGGACAGCTGGATTTTTTTGGCAATTTTTATTGCCATGGGGCCCACCCATGTGAGTGTGTGTAAAATTTATGTGAAACTTATTTCTGTATATACGGCTTTATTCGAATATTTATAGCAAGAGAGTGCCTTGTGTGCATATAATGGGGGATCGGGGGGTGGAGGGTGAGGAGTACAAAAAAAAAGTAAAGGGGACACCCTTAACACGAAGAGTTTTGAGAATTTTATTAAAATAGCATCCAACGTGGACAACCTAAATGCTAGTTAACATGAATGACTAGACTCGAATTTCGAGAACTATTTATTATCAATTAATTTTTAAGACAGCTGTATAAATTTTGACTATTACTATAGTACTCTAGCTTGAGCTTGCGTGTGCGAACATTTTTAAGTTAGTCAAAAATTAAGATCATGTGCGAATATATGTTACTGTTTTCTAATACCAAACCATGGCATAGAGAGAAAAAAAGAATATACACTCCTTTCCAAATTAATTGAAACGAATTTGTTAATTTCGATTTTCAAGATAACAATCACATGTTAGCCACGTTATCATTAACGACTCAAACGGTCCTTTAAACCTCGAGAAGCTTCATCTAGGCCAAAACCGATAAAGCGAAGCCAATTGTCCAGCCTACTTATAAGAGAGTGCTTGCCTTAGCGATCATCTTGGCTAGGCAAGGCAATGCAAACCTTATCCTCACATTTTTAGAGGCAATACAAAAGGTGAACCCATTTGACTAGTGGGTAAAGTGCATAAATGTTACTTCATCATATTGTTTCAAAGCTAGTAAAGTGCAGAAATGCTAGATATCTTCATGCCACCTGGTAGGAGGAGGACCATTGTCTTGAGCTAAAATCATAAAAAATTGCAAATAGAATCAATCAAACGAGAATTATAATAGTAATTTTGGGAAAAATGTATTTTTTGAGAATTATACCCTCAAAAAATGACATGTGCAGAAGGTTCTAGAACTTGAAATCCGTGGTTGGTAAGTACAAAATTTTTTAGACAAAGTTTTAAGTCAAAAGAACATTATATTACCCTCAAAAGCTTATGTGACAATTCGTCCCGTTTGATTTGGATTAAAATATTTAGTCAAAATCAACAATTAATTTTAACCACAAATTTCATGAATTTTTAACCACATATTTCATCAACTTTTATCAAAATCTACTAAAAATCTACTTTTAATCTCTACCAAACAAGGGCAAACAAAAAGTTTGAGCTTCGAAGAAAAGTTATTAAAGAGCGGTTGTATTACATATACGACAAGCTAATATTTTTAACGACAAATATTTATTTAAAATTAACTTTTATTTTTTATTAAAAAAATCTTTGCCTATCATGAGTTAATAATTTACTTACGGCTTTACATAGTCATATCTCTCTACTAGTATCCTGTGTAGAGCTATTGCTTTTAATATTGCAGCCCTTGCATCTTCTTCATTAGAACCAACCCAATTAAAGACTGGAAATCATCAATAAATGCCAAGTAAGGCACTCAAAACAAAACCAACTTGACTTAGGACTCCGTAAAATACTTGCATACATTCGCTTTTTACTTAATGCCTATTTGAGACCCAAAAAACCACCATTGCATAATTGATAACAGTGTTCTAAAAGGTCCTCATAGACTCAGGAGTTTCGAGAAAATGTCCTGCCTCGCGCCTAGGCAGAAAAATAGACATTCAACTCTATGTTGACTACTTGAGGCATGCATAGAAGAAAAAGTGAACGATTTTTATTTACAGGTAGAATTAAGCTCCTTGTACAGAATTAATGATGTACTGAAAGCATTACAGATACACAGGTAGCAACTCTGCATTGGTTGCTACAAAATTATTTTTTGTCCAAGGCCCAATGAATGCTTGCCACCTGTGTACCAGTAATGCTATCTTTACATTTCTTCTATACATGTAGCAAAGTCCATTCTTGTTATAATATCCAGTTCAACAAAATGGTCTACCAGCGCTAAAACTTGAAAATGAAATAAGTCTTATTGAATTCCACCTGCCCAAATCAACTTTTAGCGCTGGAAAGGTGCAATAAATCTTATCAAGGCAGTTATGAGGGTGGTCCTCAAGCAAGTTGATGGTCTGTTAGTACAATTAGTCATCTTGACGATAGTAACTGGTAGAGTTCATCAAACTACGCTTGAAATTTGGACAACGAGGAGCTATTCTATCTGAAGCACAAAATCATGTATGACATGTGAAATTTTACATGGTATGCACTAAAAAATCGAGCACCTCGTGTCTACTAGATAATTGAAGTGCTATCCAACTTCGTATCGTTAGACATTTCATCCGAATTTTCATCTCAAAATGCTTGCCAATCTCATAGATTACCTAGCGACAGCAACAAAAAAATTGACAACACAATTACGAAACAGAAACAGTTGAAAGGAGAGCATGTGAGATCAACAATCTATGTACAATGGAAGTGTACCTGCAGCACAAGGGGGAAGCCTTATAAGCGTGTGTTTGTGGGTTGTTTTCCCCCCTTCTTTTACATTGTGGGCAGTCTCAGTCCAATCTTTCAGCTTTGAATTAATGTGGATGAAGTATAATTTATGACTCCATGGGTAAGCGTTGAACTTACATCCTCAACCAGTCACTTCGATTTTTTTTTCCAAATTTTTTAGTATTGTAGCAAAGTAAGAATATCGATTGCAAACATAAGACCAGTCCCAACTTGTACTTAATCTTCAGGGTTTTGGGTTATTTCTCTTTTCCACTTCTGTTGTACAAAAATGAAGAACGTGACAAGAAAAAAACAATCTAAAAATCTACCAAACGGAAGGTTTGAACACGATACAGAATCATTGTCCTCAAACGATATTTGCTGCCATCGGAATGAGTGCTTGAAGACTTTAATTGCAAATAATTTGTAGAAGTGAACAAATCTTGAATCCAAGTTCAAATAAAGTAATATGAACTTGAATAAGAACTTAAAGAACACTATAAGAAATCTGGATTTTGATATTTGATTTCAATGTAAGTATGTATAGATGATGTTAATGTTATGTTTTTCAACATTAAAAACATCCAAGTAAATAGAACATCAAGTCCACTGTACGAATGGGTGCCAAAACAAAACCAAAGAGGTGTCAAAACTATCAAAATATCGTCAGAAAATTCAGAAGCAACGGTTACGAATTTTTTGACTGGACGATCGCCGAGTACAAATCTGGGAAATAGCCTAGTGTAGCCTTTAGGCTATGGTATACAATATGAGGCTGGGCTTCTGTCCATCTCCCTTTTTTTCTTCGGGTGTTTTTGCATTTACTTGATATTCTCACATTGATGTTTGATCACTCTAAATCACTTATCAGTATATGTTTGAACAAAATTACAACAATTCCTCACTTGTTCAACTATTTAATGAGTTCAAGTTTAAATTTAAGGACACTTATGCATAAAATATGGATATCTTTCAATTTGAATCCAATCTTAATGTAAATCTCACAAAGTAACATCGACATCGTAGATAGTATGAAAGCTTTGAATATGTTATTCCTTGTGATGACGCCAGTGAAATTACACACACCATTATCATGTGTTCCAAGTTCCACACAATCTCGTTTAGTGCTCTTATGAGCTTGTGCTTTCATATTCGTGAACTTTTAAGAGAGAAACTCGAACTCTCTATTAAAGCGACACCATCTTGAAGTTCATATAAGTAAAATTCTTACAGTATCTTTGTCACTTTAAAGATACCTGATCCAACAATCTGAACTTTGTTAAGAGTTGTAGAAACTCAATCATTCTATTTGTGACAAACAGTGCTCATAACCTACGGTAGGGTAAAAGAATAAGTACCGAAACTATCCACTTATCGAATGATTTTTTAGTTGCCTTTGAACCCAAGGTATATTGTTAGTATAGCCAAGTAGGGTTGCCATCATTAGTGGATTTAATTACTGAGTTTAAATCTCATCCTACTAGTTGTTGTTCGCACT